TAAAAAATTGATATGGCTCTCTATTATAGTTACACACAAGTTTAGAAGAAATAATCTTAAGAAGAATTTTGGAGCAATCAAAACTTAAAACTTATATAGAAAAAAAGAATAAAAAATAAGAAAGGCAAAGATCCAAGTGGTCAAATTCCTATCAACAAAGAAACTACTACTATTCTTAGGTAACTTTTTATCCTCTTCATTACCTTTTTTATTTTATTTTTATTTTTTTCTTTTTTTTCTATTTTTTTTATTCTTTTTAATTTTTTTCTAACTTATTATATATATGTATATATATATGTATTTATATTAAGAAATTCTAATAAAATAAGTTTTTTTTAATTATATTTTTTGGATTGATTTGAATCAATTTTTTTTTTTAGTTTCATATCTTAATTAAAAATCCACAATAACTTAGGTTATTTCCATTGGACCATCATTTAGTATTAGCTAAATTAAAGAAAAAGCATATTCATCTTAAAAATTTATCTTAATAAATTCTATCTTAAGCTACATATCTGCTATTAGCAATTTATTTTCTATTTTTTCTAAAAATTCTACTACTAACTCACAAAATCTGTAATTTTAAGCATAATAAGTACATTTTTTGTACTAAACATATAAACAAGTAAATTTAGTAACTCACAACTATTCAAAATCTCTAGTAGGAGATTTTATTTTGTTTATAAAAAAAAGATTGATCATTGCAATTGTATATAGAATGTCAAGGACTCATGCACTTTGAACCAAGTATGAACATTTTAAATATAATATCATGACTTCTATACTTATAAATATACCAATAATTTTTCAACATCTTATGAATAATAATTTTTGAAATTTTTTTAGATGATATTTTCATTAGTTATTTGAACAACATTCTAATCAATAAAAACATAAAAAACATAAAATTCATATTTGTAATGTATTACAAAAATTTAGATATACAAGATTATATGCAAAGATAAAAAAAAAAGTGTATATTTTATATTACTTAAGTTAACTTCATTTGAAACATCATTTTAGATAATAGTTTTATAATGAATTCTAAAAAAGTCCAAACTATAATAAATAAGAAGGTTTCAAAAACAATAAGAAATTTCTAATATTTTTTGAAATTTTTCTATTACTATCAAATTTTTATTGAGAACTTTTTTTAAATTGCAGCTTTACTTATATGCTTGACTTATAAAGATAAACTTGAATAGAATAAAGAAACTCAACAAGTATTTGAATCTTTAAAATTAGCTTTTACTTTTGTACAAATCATATATCATGTCAACTTTTCAAAGATGTTTTTTTATAAAAATAGATACTTTGGATTTTGCCATGGTTGCCGTATAATAAAAAAATAGGAGTAAATGATAAACTTCATCCAATAGCTTTTTATTTACAAAAACTTTTAGTTCTAATAATCAATTTTCAGATCTACAACAAATAATTTTTCTAATTATAGTTTTATTTTAAGAATAATGCTATTATCTAAAAAAAACTTCATGTCTAGTCACTTTGTATATATATCCCAAGAATCTTAAATATTTCATATTAATATATATTTTAAATTGTCATTAACTCCATTGGAGTATGTTTTTATCAAGATTTGAATTTAAAATTATATATTGGCCAAAAAAACAACAAGGTTTATTGGATATTCTTTTTAAATATTCTTATCTTATATCAAAAGAAGGAAATACAAATTTTAATCAACAATTAATTATCTTCTTGAAACTAGAATAATAGATTATTCTTAATTAAGAATAATCTATTAAGAATAATCTATTAAGAATAATCTATTAATTAAGAATAATCTATTAAGAATAATCTATTAATTAAGAATAATCTATTAAGAATAATCTATTTAAGAATTAAGAATGTAGTTTAAATTTAAGAATAATCTATTCTATTTTAAGAAATTTTTATATATTCCAAAAGATAAAGCACAATTATGTGCTCTTCAAGCTTGTTACAACTTTCCAATTGCATGATATTTAAAATATAATAAGACCTTAGAATTAATCTCGAGAGATTTTTGGTGCTTTTAAATATAGAAGGTAATTAAAGACTTTGTACAATCTTGTGATCTTTGTTTAAAATCAAAAATTCCTCAACATTGAGCTTATAGAATTCTTCAACCATTGCCTATATCAAAAAAAGCATAGTCTTTTATTTCTATGGATTTATCATAGATTTTTTAATTTCAATTTATGACTCTATATTTATAATTATAGATTATTTTATTAAAATTACATATTTTTTATCATATAAAAAATATATCACATGTAAAGAAATAGCTAAACTTTTATTTAATAATATTTATTGTTATTATGGATTACTAAACAATATTTATTGCTATCATGGACTAATAAGTTGAAACATATTTTATCTAATAGAAGGATTCAATTTGTATTGAGGTTTTGAAGAATTCTTTTTAGATCTTGAAGATGGGCATAAATTTAACTTTGGCTTGTCATCTTCAAGTTTATAGAGAAATAAAATGGATAAATCAAGTTTTAGAGTAATATTTGAAATATATCATTAACTACCATCAAGATAATTGGACAATTCTTTTACTATTGAAAAAAAAATTTATTATAACTTGATAAATTTTTTTATTTAATTTTTTTTATTAATTATAGTTATTATCTACAACTTGATATTTTTGACTTTTCAAAAATTCATAATATTATGGAAAAAGTTTTGACAAATCATTTATCAAAGCTATATACAATAATGAAGGCACAATTAAAAGATGCTTAAAAATAATAAAAAAATCAATTTAGATACTTATTGTAAATAATAACATCAATTTCATGTTAGCAACAAGATATAATTACTTTGTTATCATATCAATACTTGTCACCTTTGTGATAAGTTAGATTATTATAGACTTGAACTATTTTTTATTTGTAAACAAATCAATCTAGTCGCTTAATGGTTATATCCACCAAAATCTATGAAGATCCATCATATGCTCTATATATTTCTTTTTAAACCATATAAGATTATGAATATCCTAAGAAAAAAATAAATGTCATTTTTTACTATAGAAGTGGATAATAATCAAGAATTTGAGGTCAAAAAAGTCTTAGATTCAAGGCAGCATTAGCTTAGAGTGAAATCTCTTATTTATTGGCATGGATACACATGAGAACAAGTAAGGAATATTGCAAATAGAGTAGAGAAGGTCAAAGCTTTTCATCAATATCATCCATCAAAACAAAGATAAATAGTGAATCAATTTTTTGCTATGAAGCAAATGAGATTTAAGAAAGATTGCATTCCATCTTCTATCTTTGATTTTGGTTTTTTTATATCAATGATGTTAAAAAGATAAAAGATCAATAACTAAGAGTTTCAATTCAAGAGCAATCATTTGTCAAGTTATTAGATGAGACATTGAAATTGTTACAACATTCAAGACAACGTAATAGAAATGAAGATCCTTAAGAATGACATGTTTTTCTAATAGATGGCAAGATACAATACATTTGATATAACAACCTTAGAAAAGACTCCCAATATTTGATAATATTATTGGAGGTAAAAATCACTTTTAATGATATTTCAAATTTTTTGTTTAAAAGAAGATATGAAAGTTTCTACAATGACTAAATATCAGGGTAGTCTTCTTACTTTGATATATGACACTATTTGTAATTGAGAGAACTTATCAACTACCTTCAAAGGGAACAAAAATTAGAATATATTATAAATATAATTTGTTGTATTAAACTTCAACATGTGATTACTATTCTTTGTGGAACTACTTTTTAGAAGAAGAAGTAATATTACAAACATTCATATTTATTATAATTATTATCTAGATTAAAATAAATAAATTTAATAATATCTTATAGAGAAGCTTTTTAGAAGCTATTAAACGTCACTTTGCTTTTATATGTATCTATAAGTAATTATTAGGTTGAAAACTTAGCCAATACGTTTAGTTATGATACAAGTTGGATATGTGGTACACATATAGGAAGCTTTTTTTACAAATTAGATATATATCATGTGAATTTGACACATTTTGAATGTCCTACAAACATTGCCACATAACTTCTAATTAGATAGTATATATTGAAGCAAAAGTGATGTATTCTTCATTCTTATCAATTCTTTTCATATTCCTAATTTAATTTCAAAAATCTCTAGTTTTCTTTTCTTTTCTTTTGGCAATAGCCATTCTAATTTTTTCTTGAATATGCATATTTATTCATTTTATTTTTGTCATCTTCTTTTAATAAACATTTCACTTATTTATTGGATTCTTTGAATTCTTATTCTTAACAAATATTTAAGATCAAGGTGGTTCAAAAAGATTTAAATTATAAGAGGCAAATTTAGAATGTAAGATTCATAAAAACACAATTATAATTTATTCTACAAAGCAAATAAAACTATCCCATTTATAATCACTTTTAAAATTTTAAAGACATAAAAATATTTATGATCGACAAAGAAATCTATCACTTCATGTTTCAAATAATAATAATAATTAAAATTAAACTTTTCATAATTACCATAAAGCTAAGAATTCATACATTAAAAGAAATGAACTGAATTAATTTTATTTGGTTAATTAATTCCTACACATGGGTTGAAATAAAACAAGTGCTAATCCGTTTTCTTTATTCTTCTAAAGAGACTAGATGAAATACAAATCAGTGTAGACATCATGTAACCTTCTACTTCCATCACTGCAGTTGATAATATACAACTACGTGATTAAGCATTGTTAGCTAGCCTGGCACTTATGAGCATCTTATAAATCTATACCACTAAACACAACCAACCGAAATACAATGAGTAGAGTAGTGGGATTGAACGATCTACATGTGCACATGGAGTGTAGAGCTTGAGCCAAAGACTCAAGGATATCATTCCTGGCCCTTACAAACTTAGTCATGCTTCGTCAAGGAAATACTTTGCGATATGCCACAAATTGGGAAGAGATTACCGACGAGAAAGGAGCATCCTTGTACCCAATGATCACTCTAGTATCAGCTGCTAACATTCCATACTCCTTGCTGTAAGTGTCATAAAGCACATGGATCTATCTAGAATACATATAAGCCATGAGCACCAATTCTATGTTCATAACGATCAAAGTAACTTGGTTTACGAAACGTGGGTCTCCTGTCATCAAATTTGAATGAGGTCACAGTTACACATCATCTGCTGGGATAAGTTGGTAAAACCTTAAACAACTGTAACCAATTACAAGCTTGCTGGAAAATGTCAGGATTACAGAGTGAAACATCACAAGGCGACTCCATCGCTAACTTTATCCAATTCTCAATGTCTTTTTGAAACCATAGTCTTCTGAAATCCACACCCGCATTCATCAGTCATGGAATGATGCACACACCACCCAGTGCGAATGTCAAGATGGCCACATCCACCACCATTAAGTTTCATCGTTCATCATTCATCTCCAAAGGGCCAAACCTAATTTTCGGATTGAAGATTTATCACAGACCCGACTGCATCTGTTCGTACACATCCCAATAACTACTCACTCTTTACCTCTGATTGCCAGCAAAATCTTTTTTCTTGGTCCCTGTCCCAACACCAGAATAAAAACACAAAAATAATTTAACAAAAAAATTAGAACATCCTCAATGCTGTCGGACATCATTTTAGTAACGTGTACGAGATTTGAGATGTAAATTGAGTAGCGACATGTGCTCTGTGACACTAATGAAAATTCACTAGAACGTTTGCAAATGAAACCAGAAAGCAACATTGAGAAGGGAAAAATAAATAAATAAATAAATAAAAATAAAAGAGCTCACCATCGGCACACCAAGTTCCTTAAGATCATTGTCACTCATGTGCCCAAGGGCAGCCATATCAATCTGAAGGAGTCAATAAAAACCAGCTGTTGATGTTTTTCTTTAAATATTCTAAAGCAATAACAATGGTCACAAGAAAATTAAAAATCTTTATGCTACATTTAAATGTACCAATAGATCAAGAGTGACTGAAAATTAGACAGTAAAATCTCGTCCTTACAATAAGCCCCTGCTGTTTGATCAAAAGCACACAAAAACAACGTTGAAAGTCAAGAATGACTACCTCCTCAGATTGAAACGTGGCTACGTATTTCTCTAGTCCCAATGAATGGAGAAAAGTACGCACTGTTTGCTCTTCAGTCTACAACGAAAGAGAAGATACATTAAAAGGTCTGCTCACCACCGTGTTCTCGCATACAACCCCAGACCCACATTATAATGTGATAAACAATTCAGATGAAATGCAATTTCACCGCACAGAAATGAAAATATTATTGTTCTAAAATTTACACCTATAACAGACTACACAAAGATTGATTCAATACGAGAGGATAGGCTCCTCATCAATAATTACATGGCACAACTACCTATGTGCTCCACACCAGAGAGGCGAAGGCAAATGAGTAAAAACTGAAGACTCTGAAGACCAACAAAAATACAAGACTTGTAAACGCTGAGAATGGAATCTGCAAGTCTCGTTACAAAGAAGAAATTACATTTGGCACCTTTCCATCCACAGGTCTTTTTACAGTTGCAACCGATCTGGCTGAGACAGGGGCAGGGACTGCTGTTGAAGCCGCACCTTGCGTAGCACTTGTGCCATTGAAAACTACGGATGCGACTCGTCGCTGCACTTTTGGACTTTCATGCACATGAGTGGCTTGGTGACTTACGAGGCCTGACAACTTATCACGCAGATCAACGACATTTCCTGCGTTTCCTTGATTACCATTTCTTGAGCCTTGTCTAGCTAGTTTTGACCGCAAGTCTGGGCCACCTGTACGTCCAGCTAAGGTTTCTGATCAAAGTTACAACAACTCAGTAGCTCAGACTGACAGTACGGACACATACAAATGTATATCATATTCATAATAATTAATCAGGAGTTACTAGGTGCGTCAAAATCACATTCATAAAAAATTAATAATACATAATAGATAATTAAAGAAACTCAGATTCTATCGTCATTGGATTAGAGAAGACATTCGACTTCGATATTCTACTCAGAAAAATATGAAAGGATACGTTGACCTCGGGAACCATGATTAGATTCGTCAAAAAACATATCATGCTTCCATTGCCCCTCAACGTCTCTATGCCTGCAGGCATCCAACAATAAATCGGCTTCAGAAAAACAAGTCGGACTGAGAATAAAACGGCATTGAAATCATGGCGATCAAAATGCAGAAATCAGAGGCACGTTTCAACAACGAAACTTTGGTAGCCAGAATAAACCAGCGAGTTCCATTCGAATTTTCTGGTATCTGAATACTCACCGACTCCATAAGTGGTGATTTACAACTTGTCAAAATTCTTGCCATGCTTGCATATAGTAAGACTTCGGTCCCCTGAGAATTCGATAGAAGATGTGGTGTGATTTTTGTCCTTGTAAAAAGTAGTAGAAGCTCACCTTTTGGCACCAGTTGACTGCGGCGCGGCACGAACTGGCTCCATCCAAACCCCCAGTCGTTCCCTAATTGATCGCCTCCTATTCCAGTCTCCAGTTGTGCGATCGGCATACATCTCTGTAGGAACAGTCACGTGTCTCTCCACCTGTTTCGCACCATACATAACGCGCACAATATCATTTAACTGCATTACAATGAAACTTATTCTTCCTGACATTCCAAATTACCAACCAGCATGACTAATCTAATGGCTCTCATAAGCAGCAAAATTATTATAAATAAAAAATAAATAAAATTTGCTTTCTACTTCCTGAACAGCTTTCCGTGGCTCTCCGCATAGACACAGTTCAGGAAAACGAACACCAGAATATCTGAGATAACACAACAGTCCCAACCCTGTCCTTTACACCTAATGCATGAAAATACATACAGATGAGCTCTCCATTTGAACCTTTGAAAAGCATATCTCAAGGTCCTAAAAAAACCGTGAGTCCACCTCTACCGACATTATTTACACCGATTGTAAAGAAGAAGGAAAGTTGCGTACTGCCAAACATGCAGACTTGAGAACCACTCACCAATAGAGCAAATCCTGCTACTTGAGAGAATTAGCACACCGATTCCAATATTCCGCAGTACGCTTGATGATATCAAACGAGGAAATAAAATCAACATACCCCCAACAGAAAACAAGACCAAACAAAAACTCTTCACAAAAAGAAAATTAACGAAACTAAAACCAAACAACCCAAAATACCAACACATGGGAAGAGAACTGACACAACAAACAATCTAAACCCTAAAACCTGGTCTCTACCATCCTTCTAGTCCGGAACCATTCCCTGAGCAAGAGCAAATATGCAGAAGAGTAAGAGAAAAAAAAAAAAATACCCGCTTCCCGCCACGCCCCAAGGTGACCGTAACTCGTGGGTGAGACATGAACTCCCGTGCTAGCCTTTTTCCCTTCCACTCACACCAGATCTCAAAAAAACTCCGACCAGCGCAGGTAATCCCTGAAACCTCGCAACACACAGCAGACAAATCAAATGGACCCATCACCACAACACCACCACCACCACCACCACCGCAACAGAAACACCACCCCCCTCCCAAACCAACAGCCCAGATTCCCGGGTCCCTCAAACTGCACGCGCGTACCTCATCACTGGCTTCTACCCATTAACTTAGACGCTCCAAATGCGGCATTCACAGCAAATGTAGGCCTCTCTGGTCACTCTTCTCTCTCTCCCTCCTCCACCTCCGTCTCGAGAGCACACGCAATAGATCGAACTTCTCCCTCTCGGATTTGAATGCTAATGGGTCAATTGAGTTCTCGAGAGACTGGGGGAGTGGGTTAGCGCCGGTAAATGTCGACAAACAGAAATATTGCCTGAAGCCCTAGGAAAACCATGACCTCGAATTTTATCATACCACGCGGATTGAACGAGTCCTATGATGGTGCGGCAATAGCGCCCAAGTGCATGGGATAATCGCAAATCCCACGGCGGCCTCACCATCGCAGCCGCGTCGTCGTCACACCCTCCGCTTCCGCCCTCGTTCACTTCCTCGTTCGTTGATAGCCACGATATCGTTCGTCCACGTAACCATCGATCGGTTTCCTCGACGTCGTTCGTCCACGCCCACGGTTTTTCATTCGTCCACTTTTGTGGAGTGGTTTCGTAGATTTTAGGATGGATGTTCCTTCATCTACGTTATCCATGTGCTCGTTGTGGGAACGCGATTGAGAACTTCGGTTTTTCATAATGATGCTATGCTAATATTCTAAATATGTAAGTATATATATATATATATGTATGTATGTATGTATATATGTATACATACATAAAAAGTTACTAAAAATTCCTAGTATAATACCAATATTTAATAAAACAGCCAATGAAACAATAAACCCACATCAAATAAATTGACACTAAAAAAATTATTTCCTTGTAATGCTTACAGTTTTATTTTAACACATCTGTATGTAATATCACTGATTAATTTCATAAACTGAGGCATTTTCTGCACTGCTATGTTTGTTCAAATAATACCAAAACTAAATTAAAAAGTGAACTTTTTGCATGGTCAATGAATATATATTACAGTGAAGCTGGTGTTCATATAAATTGCAATTAAAAGAAACTATTTTCAACAATTATTTATTTTCTAATAAATAAATATGTTACATGATTTAGTATACTGAAAAAGTTAAAAATAGGATTGAGAATGAATAATAAAAATTAATTACCATCTCCAATCATATAATTTTCAAGTATTTTTCCTATTTGATTCATACTACTTGTGTTTATATATATATATATATATATATAGATGATTAGTTCCTACTAATCATCATACAAAATTATTATTTTTACCAGCATGAGTACAAATTACAGGCTTGGTAATTTAATTATACATAAAGTTTGTTCATAACTAGAGTTTTGTAAGTACATAAAAGCTTGAAATGGTACGAGAATTTTACATTAGGTAATGTTTTTGTATTTTGTAGGAGCAGGTTAAAAAAAACTTGAATAGAACAAAATATAGTAAAAATATTCATTTTGCTTTTGTTTTTTAAAATCACAAATACTGCAAATACTTTTATTATGAATCATCCTAATTATATTTGAAAATTGAAATATTTTTTTATAATAATAATGATAGTCAAACTATATATATATATATATATATATAATCACCACTAAACACTATATATATATATATATAGAATAATGATAAATTGACCTAAATTCTTACTAGAGCAATCCATCCATCATTACAAATTGGCACAAGGGTCATATAAATCTTCTTCATCATTAAAACCATCATCTATATTTAAATAAACAGAATCATGATTTTGAATATGGCTTCCAACAACTTTCAACAATTTCCAATGGCTAGTATTAACTTCTATTTTTATCTGTCATGTCTTGTTTCATCTATAAGTATTTACATACTCATTTTTTTATTTTATTTTATTTTTTTTGATCTTATATTAGTGTTTGCTCATTTTTACATTGTAAGTAGTATGTAGAGGAGAAGGCATTCTTTATTATACAATTTTTTTCATTTTGCAATAGAAAATTAGGCATACATAAGTGTACCAACAAAAGGACATTTCAAAAGTATAGAAAAAATGAAAGAAAATATAGATACATTTGCATATGATTACAAATATGTTGTTTGCAAATGACGCTTTGACAAAAATTGTATTGACTATATGTGTGATAGAAGATAAGTTTATTATGACCGAAATTGTCATATTCATCAACAAAATAGTACAAGACATTTAACTGGATGTCTATTTGCATTCCATCTGCATTAACAAAATAATATGCAATGATACTTCAGTGTTTGAAATGGTCTTCATAATCATGGACCATCTTTTTCTTCTTTAGGTCATACATTTGCACACCATCTTCAATCAACAAAGAAAGAATTAACTTCACAATTGCTTGCCATAGGAGTTCTACTAAAAAATATTGTTATTGCCTTATGAGAGAGTGATTTAATAGCACAATTATTGCTTGGACTATTTACAATGAGTGACAAAAGTTACATCACATTCCACTTGTTAGACGCTCATCTATTATCTACCTTATGAAAACTTTATATGCTACTAATTATTATTTTACTTATCAATGAAATAAAGATGATAAAGTTACTTTTCTATTTTTTACACATTTTGAATGTATTTGACTTGTAAAAATATACTCTTTCTCTATTGTCATAGATTGTATATAAAAAATAAATAGATTTAAAATGCCTATGTTGCATATTGTGGGAATGACAAGTTTTAATACATCTTTTATTATTGATATTATTATTATTATTTTTTAAAGTATTAATCCAACTTCTGCAACTATATGGAAATATTTGATCCATATGCATTGCTATTGACATGGATTTAGCATTAATAAATTCTACTAAATTTATGTTTATTACTTCAAATATGTTACTTTGCATTTGGGATTTTCAAAAAAATGTGTTAGAAAATTGTTAAAAATATTTTTTAAATAAGGTAGAATTAGGATGGTCTTTATTTCTTGCATATTAAACCACTATGATTAGTGTACCTTCTTATGACCTTTTTGATTTGAAATGAACTCATCTTTGCAATAAGTATATTCTCACTATTGCTTATGCAACTATTGTATATTTACAAAATACTTCGATACTACATAAAAAAATATTTTTCAAAGCTTGGATAAATAATTTACTTCTTCTTGGAAGTGTTACTACATCACAAGAGGATTAACATTTAGCATTGAAATCATATTTAAAATTATCTATCAAAGACCTCAGAAAAATAGAAATTTCTCTCTTTCACTTTTTTGAAAATACAATAAGTTCATAGCTTAGAAGAGTTCAAAACAAACTTATGTCTTTCATCAACATAATATTAGTTTTTTCACCAATGTTGTGAAATGTGTCTCTTTACATGCTCTAAATCTTGTTTTTGAACAATATAAGTATGCAAGAGTAAAATATAATAATTACAATTTTTCTTACATAAAGACAATAACAAATATATTGTATCTTTCTTGTACATATTATATTCAAAGTTTACTAAGAAGTGGAGGTGTTTTGATAATTATTGATTTTTATAATCAATATCATTTGATGAATAATTTTAAATACTTCTTACAATACTATTGTAAGTTGAAATATCTTCTTAAATTCTCTATCCTTTCTATGATGTTGTTAGTCATATAATTGATATTTTATCTCTTCACCAACATGAAAAAGTATATAAACAATTGGTGGAGCTTTCAACAATGATTATGCAATTGAAAAATCCATGAATGAGTCACCTAAAAGAAAGACTACAAAGAATAACAAACAGATGAAGAAGTGACATGCATGTAAAAATATTTACATAATTTTTTACTTCAAAGTTTAAAACTAAAGAAGTAGGGATAAGAATATGTTTTTGCAGATGCCTATAAGTTGTTCACAAAAGGTCTAACATTTAGTAATATTTTAAGAAAGATTTTTTGTATAAAACTAAAAATAAATATAATATTTAAATAATTTTAGTTGATTATTTATTCAAATTATATTATCAAGTAGTGAAGTGTATATAAATCAAGTGTACATAATGCATATTTACATACAATTTTCTTTACAAAAACCTTTTATCACAAAGCATCTCTCAATTTTGTGATATTCAAAATTTATTTAAGATTGAGCTACTAAAAAAATTGAACTATAATTGAAGTATGTTCTATGTACTCAAAGGATTATCTTATTAAGTATAAATATTGAAAACAAGATATAATCTAACATGACATGAAAATTTTTTTCAACTCAAAGTTTTAAGAATTAATATACAAAATCTCTAAATTTGATAAGTAGTAGAATCCTTGAATAGCAAAGCATGCATTGTTTATTGCTCAAAAAATACTCTAATAAATATTATTTTAGAAAGAGAACAACTACTCAATATTAATACAAGTCAATTTTTAAGTTAATCTAACATTTGTTAAAGTACTTGTGACAAGTAAAAGTCAATTTGAAATGAAATACAAAAATAAAGATATTAACTATGATTTATTATAGATATATTATAGAACATAACTAACTTGTAAAGTATATTAATAAATTGACCTTTAGACTATATGTGGTTATTCAAATTATAAATATATTGTAAAATTATGTATATTTGACTATTCATAATATACATTAGTTTTTTTTTGTATCCAATAAAGAGCCAAGCATAGATCTTTGATTTATATAAATATATTATTCATAAATATGAATATAAATAAAAAATATATATAAGGTAAAAAAAAACTATATAACAAAACAACAACCTGATTCTAAATAATAACAACAAATTATAAATATTCATATTATGTTGTATAGTAAAGAATAATTATACATAGAATGTTACTTCCTACAATGAATGATATCTTATAAATTAATTTCAACAATACAATATTTGAATCCATATATATTGTTAAGGCGAAAAAATTGATAAAAGCAAAGAAACAAGTGAGGCTTTTTTCAAAGAAATATGACAAAATAGAAATAAAAAAATATATATATTGAAAAAAAATTACATGTTGCCAAAAGATAAAAAAAAACTAAAGATCCATGAAATTAGACTAAAAAAATGAAAGAATTGAAATTCTTACTTTTTATATATATTATCTACATAAGAGCTATGTGGTGATATTTTGTAGGACATCCAACTTGTATCCAAGTTATGAGACACATGTTTTAACTTGCAAGATAAGTTTCTTATATGTGTGTTGTTGTATTGTAATATGACTATATGATGAAAATATAATAAAAAATTAATTTTTAATTAATATCTAATTATCTTGATTCAATAATAATTCAAGATATTTAAACATGGCTTTTATAAAAGACTCTTAGTTTATTTTCTTATCTTAATAATTAATAGCTTAAAATTTGGTTAGTAATTTTACCTTCTAAGTTGTAGAGACTTTTTTATTACCTTAGAAAGACCATAAATTAGTAAAATCAG